ACCGCTCGTTGACATCCGCCTCCCGGGGGGACAAGATCAAGGCGCACTCCCTCTGACCTAGGGCTGCTTATTAATTGCATTAAAATCTTCTAACATATCCAGTTTTATGTTGAAATGAGATTGCGAGGAATCCAGAACCTCTTACTCTTTGGAGCTCGGTTATAAATGCTGAAAAAAAAAGCATTTAGCCCTTCGTCGTGGTAAGCGGCCACTAGCCTATAACGCTAGCAAAACCAGAGTAAAATCTGTCGTATTACTATCGCGCGTTGCCTATGAAGGAGGGTAGCCCTGCCTCAATAGTGGATTCTCCGCTGGAATTGAAGTGCCCGTCTGGGGAAGTGACTGCCACCAAATCCAAATCATGTATTTGCTCAAATATTGTGCACAATTAAGGTGTTACATAAGCTTTTGGTCGACAATATTTATACCTTGATAATCATCATCATCATCAGCCTATTAATGTCCCCACTGCTGGGGCACAGGCCTTCCCTATGGATGAAAGTGCGGATTGGCGGGTGCTAACGACTGCAGATGCAGCCGGGACCAAGGGCGTAACCTGGCGAGATAGAAGATTTTTGGTCACTGATCCAATGACCTGGTCGGTCAAAGTCTGCGAAAGTTGCTTAACTATAGCGATCGCAGCCGAACGCACTAACCACCTGCAATTGCCTTGACAATGTAGGCGTGCAAATTTCTAGTGTCACCTTACAGAAGACCACAGTGAAATAACACTATCTTATGGTGGTGGTGTTTTTTTTTTTATGCTAAATAGGCAATGCGTTTGACCACAATCTCACCTGATGGAAAGCGATGATGAGGCCTAGGATGATACACGCCTGCCTAGAAGATGCCTGTTCACTCTGGCCTTGAAGATGTCCAGGTTATATTGGTCCGGGAAAACAGACCTCGGCAAGGAGTTCCACTCCCTAGCCGTTTGTTTCTGTCGTCGAGTAAGGTTCCAGGGCTCCACGGGGTGGGGGATTGGGTCAGGGTAGGCGAGTGATATTTTTAGTACCACAAGCGTCTATCTATAGTCTGTGGTGGCCGCTTGCCATCAGGCGGGCCATAAGCTTGCTGGCAACTCCTTTAACATAAAAAAAATACTGATCTCAAAAAAAAAACTCGTGAACAAAATGTGTGTTAAAAAGACAGAGTATTTATATTATGATGATGATTTTGTGGTGGAGGAGTTAGATAGCGCAGGTGGATAGTGCTATTGGCCTGCGATCGTGGAAGTTAAGCAACTTTCGCAATGGGCGGTCATAGGATGGGTGACCAAAAATTATTATCTCGAGCTCCTCCGTGCTTCGGAAGTCACGTTAGCAATTAGTCTCGGCTGCATCTGCAGTCGTTAGCACCGTCGGGGTTCAATCTCCCTATTCTATCCATAGGGATGCAATGAAATGAAATGATACTTTATTCAAAATGACTTATTGAAAGCTCTTTTGAATCGTCCAATATATTTTCCTACCACCCATTTAGGACATCACGGCATATTTTAGCTGATGAGAACTATAGGCGCAAGAAACTCATCAGCATTTAACAGAAGTAGCAATATTTACAAAAAAATCATGTCGCCACCAATACACATTTTGATTGCTGTGTCATCTATACTAATATTATAAAGTTACAGAGTTTGTTTGTTTGAACGCGCTAATTTCTGGAACTACTGGTCCGATTTGAATGATTCTTTCTATATTTTTTCTATATTTTTTTTCAAAATTAGGGATCTGTAATAAAATTGCTATTTTGTAACACAAGGTGTAAAATCGAAAACCTATTTTTGCGTGCGCTGCAAAAACTATTGACAATAAAACAAAATGATGTACTACGGGTTTGTAGATCCCATTAAGAGCTACAAAAAAGTCCGCAAGAACATATATCTAGCTATCATGGTTTAAGCACAATAACCGATTTTGTGTTCAAAATAATTATTAAATCGTCTGAAGAAAAAAAAACTACGTTAACTATGTATCGTAATATTAATCTTTACCGAAATTAAGCATTATGTTATCAAGAGTATTTATGTAGAAGTAAAATACTTTTGTTTCATCTCAATCGGATATTTCGTTTAAAAGTTATCACGAAACGAGAAAAACGCGGGTGAAACCGCGGGGCACGGCTAGTACAGTATAAATATAAACAGTGTTCTATTAGGGATGGATGGTTGGCCTGTACTCCAATAGTGGGAACATTAATAGGTTGGTGTAGATGATAATGATGTTTGCGTGGATTCAGGCCAGTTTCTTGCTATCAGCACCAGCTGTCCACGTAAATGAACTTCCAATGTTACTCAATATCTTAATTGAGAGGAGATTGTCTTCCAGAGCTTGTTAACACGAGCAAAGAAATTTGGTGACTTATTTCTTTGTCGCACGATCCGCAAATAGAATGCTTTGCGCACGTGTTCCCTCCCTCCTACAAACCGGGATCCTTTAAAAGAGGGGTGAAGAAGCAACTTGCAGGCTGGCATGGTGAGGTAGGTAGGTACCAGCTACATTCGCTTCTGGACTCCGCCATCACTTAACATCAGATAGGGTGGAGTCATTTGTTGGACCTAGCTATAAAAAAAGAAAAGAATTGGCAATAGGCTTTGTCACAGCATCCCTGCCTTTGAGATAACCTGCCAATAGAGTCAATATCGCGGTGTTCGGTGATAACGAGCGGAGGGCACAAGGACACGCGCCCACTAGATTAGCAAATAACATCATTCTTACTACTTGTTGCATTAACCCGTACAACTAATAATTACGTAAGCTTGTGAGATTGTATTCTAAAACTATGTAAGTAATAGTGTCATGGATTAACAGGCTGCACCTTACAGAATCCCACCAGGAAATAGCACTACCTTTTTAACCGACTTCAAAGTGGAGAAGGTCATTCATAGGGCTGCCATCCGTCCGGGTTTCCCCGGATTTGTCCTAGTTTACGGGGCGTCCGGGGAGCGTCCGGGCGGGGTTTTATTTGTAGTCCGGGTTTAAAATTTACGGCAACGCCTGAGTGGCCCTTGGTGCTGCAAGTGTCCATGGGCAGCAGTGACCACTTATTATGAGGTAGACTGCTAGCTCTTTTGCCTAGATCAACATAAAAAAGTTGATTTGTGACATTTTTAACTGTTTTTTTTTGGTCTGTCAGGGTTCTGGGCAACAAAATCCGGGGTTATCACGCGTCTTACCCTGGTTGCCACATTTTAGAGATGGCAGCCTTAATCATTCATCATCATCAACCTATTAATGTCCCCACTGCTGGGGCACGGACCTTCCCTATGGATGGAATAGGGAGATTAGGCCATGACCCACCACGCGGGCCCAGTGCGGATTGGCGGGTGCTAACGACTGCAGATGCAGCCGGGACCAACGGCTTAACGTGCCTTCCAAAGCACGGATCAGTTCGAGATAGTAATTTTTGGTCACCCATCCAATGACTGAACACAGCAAAAGTTGCTTAAGTTCAATGATCGCAGCCGAAAGCGCTAACCTCTTGCGCCATCGAGCTCCTCTTTCGAGCTCGCTTTAAGTGCCTACTAGCACAATACTAGTGCAGTAGTACTAGCACAGTAATTTTAAAAACAACTTATAAAAAAATGTGTAAATATATTAAAAAAAAGTTCAAGTAAAGAATGAGATAACTTACGAAGATTTTAAACTGCGTTAAAAGATGAAGGTAATGTAAATATATAGCCACGCGGCTAAAACACCACGTTACAAAATATCTGAATGAGACCCATTCTGACTGAGTTTTCTTCCTTTGGATTATTAGGATTATGTTTGTTATTCGTCAGATAAGCTAATGACAGAAAATGTTACTAAAATTGTGCTGGGAACAACTGTTGTCAAAGTCTATAATAAAAATAAATACGGCTAAACTTATATGTCGATATTAAGAAACAGAAAATGGATGAGGATAAAGTTATTATTAATTACCGCCGATGGCATAGCTTCTAGACATGAATGCTTGTTACTTGTAGTAGATTATTGATTATTACTAATTAAAAAAAAGACCAAATCTAAGTGTCGTTAAACATTTGGTTGGAACGAAGTTAAAAATAAACAACTACACAGAATACGCTACAAAACAGAAAAATCTTTTTTTTTTTTTGCCTAGCCATATCCGCCGATCCCATACCATCCAACAAAGAAACTTCGTTTAAAAAGCTACAAATAGTAAGAACACCTAGATTCACTAAAATTGATTGCACAAAAATTGTAATAACTAAAGAACATTAAGAAATGTAAGACGTTATCACTAAAACACGCACACTAAAAGAACTTACTATCCAGCGTAGCAATGTATCTGATGATGTTCTTAATAGTTTCTTTATAAATACCACTGGATTTTGTTTTAACTTAAATTTATTATAACATAGATATTTCTATGTTCGATATATTCGGTATTACTTGTTACTTTGATACGAATACAAGCTTTGCTGGCTACTAGAAAAATAAGTATTCATAGCCATCAAAATACAAAAAAAATGTAGTTTGTTTAGGCATAGAAATAGGACAACAAAGTTTCTTAGGTTTTCACGCACATCACTCATCAAATACAACTAGTTTGAACGGGTTAATGCACGAACTTTATTTATTTATTGACGTTTCGCAGCTTCAATTCAATTCAATTCAATTTATTGCAGTCATGTGGTTACATGGATGGTTACAAGTTACAAAATGCATAAAGTACCTAACATGAACCCTGTCAGGGTATCGCAATATAGATAAAAATTACAAAAGAGAATTTAACAAATAAACAATTATCTATATAATGAAGAACCTAATATTTATTTTAATATTTATTTAGCTTTTTCAGACCTGCATCGTCATAATAATAATTTTTTATTTACTTTGTCGAGCTACTTTCGAAAGACTTTTTACCGCAATTGCCCAAGTATACATGCTGCGAAACGTCAATAAATAAATAAAGTTTCTGCATTAACCCGTTAAAACTAGTTTTATTTCAACAAAATTATTTATAATATGTACACTTTATGTGATCTTAACATCAATAGAACCAGTCCTCTCATGGCAACACAACAACGTGGTAAATACCAGGGGTCGTTTAAACAGGTAGGAATATCATTGCTCCTTTGTCCTGCTTATCACGTCCTGATTATGTTTAGGGAGGAAGCACCCAGTTTGTAGAGACAGGTATAATCCACAACCACAAAGATATTATACCACGTAAATCACCACGCGTTGATCTTTTCGCCGGTGCACTATGAGGAGATCCCTTTTTTCCATGTTTCATGCGCATAAAAAACGCGTATAAAAAAGCCACATCAGTTCAAATAAATAGGCACATGTTCGTGTATACTTGGGCAAACATGGAAAATAACAGTTAAAAGAAAAAATGTAGATATACAAAATAAAACCATAACTTGCACAAAGGAATACAGATCATTAAAACTGTTCCAGTTATTTATAAATCCAAATATAGAGTATAATCATTTCATTAAATGTAATGAAATGCTACTTTATTGTTATCGTCCAGCAATAATGTTACTTAATTATTTATTGTTATATCATTTTATAGTAGTGATTATTTAAGTTCACTGATCCCGATAAAACTTAAAAGTGATCGTTTCATTAAATGGATTTTTTTAGATCCAAATCAGAAAAATAAGTTCTACAATTCACACGAATACTCGACCCTCAAAAGATGTAAATAAGTACAATAACGAACAAACAATAAGAATAAAATAATAAGGTATTGGAAAACGTGACATGCATGAATACGCGGAAGAAAGTCACGGTGCATTATCAACAGTTGGCATACTGCAAGCATGCACCATCCTCGGTCAGCACAGGGCACAGGCCGAGGCTGCCCTCCGGTCCCCGCCCACCCCGTAAACAGGAAACATCTACGTGGAGCCCTCCCGGAGCTCCGTTATCTGCGCCCGCGCACCCCCGCCCACCCGCGCCACTGGCGGCTATATAATCCACGACATGCCAGCTCCCTACACATTCACCCTTGTGTTGCAGTCGGAGTAACATTGCAGACTATCCTCACATCACAATGGCCGCCAAATTCGTCGTCCTCGTCGCCTGCCTGGCACTCGTAAGTCAACATTATTTTTTGATTGAAACCTAATCTTAAAAGGTGTAACTTTTCTAGTGTAAATAGATATAATTATTAGATTTTGTACCGTTATCTCATATACATCAAAAATTAAACGTTTCTTGTCCAGTATTAATATTGCATCAACGGGTTTCATCTCAATTCCAGGCACACGGTTTCGTGAAGCGCGATGCGCCTTCCACGACCCCTCTGCAAGACTTGGAGAAGCACGCAGCAGAGTTCCAGAAGACGTTCAGCGAACAAATAAACTCTCTCGTCAACTCCAAGAACACACAGGACTTCACCAAGGCCCTCCAGTCCGGCTCCGACACAGTGCTGCAGCAGTTGTCTTCATTCTCCTCTAGCTTGCAAAACGCGGTAAGTAATTTGACATTTAGCGTGATTCGAATTCAATTCAATTCAAATTTAATTATATTAGCTTAGCTATTAGCTGCACAAGTGTTCCCGTGTCCATTACTTAAAGAATTTTACGTTGTTATCAATTGTTTTGGTATTGTTATCACGGTTCCGAGAATTATTTTTGCTAATATTCACACGGGAGTTACATAATTGTATCAGACTATCTCTTTTTATTTTTAGGTCAGCAACAATTGGTTAATCTTTGATTTTTACAATATCAGCCCTTTAACTAGTCAATACGACTAGTAATTTAAAATATAAGGTTCAATTTGTTTTCCCTAATGTAGTCAAATGAAGTCATACTTTATTCAAATTGACTTATTGAAAACTCTTTTGAATTCTGCAATATTCAGGACATCTTATAGCTGATGAGAAGATTGGCCGCAAGAAACTCATCAGCATTTGATAATATGAAATGTCATTTAAGGAATAAAATTTTAAAGATAGATGTTGCAAGGAAGGCAATAGCTCTTCTCACTTATCTTTTAGGATTGGTATCTATTAAAGATGTTGTTACATATTTATAGCTCGGTGACGCAAACGGCAAGGCAAAGGAGGCTCTGGAGAGCTCGCGCAAGAACATTGAGAAGGCTGCGGCGGACCTACGCCAAGCGCACCCCGAGGTAGAGCAACAGGCCACCGCACTCAAGGACAAACTGCAAACCGCTGTTCAAAACGCTCTCCAGGTCAGTACAATTATTTTCTATCATTCTTAGGATTTAAAACGACCGATGGATCCACAACTGCGTTAGTTATTTCATACAAGTTTTCAACAAAAGTTTATTGTGGATTCTACCACTGGATAAAATCTGGGTAAATTTTAATAAAATGTTAATGCATCCTGGCCCACAGCAACATAGAGTTTAAATTATAATGATCTTTGATGATCTCATTCTATCTCAGTTATATCATATTTGTTTCTTAGGTAGGTCTTTCGAAGGTAGCTCGACAAATTAAATAAAAGTTTTATTCTGACGACGAAGCCTGTAAAGGCTACGAAACGTCAATAAATAAATAAAGTTTCGTGCATTAACCCGTAAAAACTAGTTTTAATCAGTTATATCAGTTGTTGAAACTCAATTTAAGAATATTCGTGCAAGTAAGCGAAGAAGATATTTTATTTACTCAAAAATAAAAGGTCTTTGTTTAGAACTACATTTAAGTGGATTTTCTTACTGCTTTAAATATGTTGAATGGCATAATAATATTCATACATTATTAAAATCATTGTAAATTCGGCGGGTTTTATTTGGCTGGTGTATTACTGAGTGACAGTATTGACTACTGATTAAAAGTTCTTGTAAACATAGCGTTAGTTATTCAGCTAATGCATTTGCTACAAATGTTTCTATCACTCGCCGATTTATATTGAAACCTTAATATGAATTTTAGAAATTTTGATTCACTTACCAATTTGTCATAATAATATAACTTATTCTGCTTCACAATTGCAACAGGAAACCCAGAAGTTGGCCAAGGAGGTAGCCGCTAACGTCGACCAGACCAACCAGAAGCTGGCACCCAAGATCAAGAGCGCTTACGAAGACTTCGTGAAGCAGGCCGAGGACGTGCAGAAGAAACTCCACGAAGCCGCAAACAAGCAGTGAGCCGCCCCTTGTAACATCCCACCCAGCACTACAGAGTGTAATGCGAAATAAACGACGTTAGACCCAAAAAAATATGCTTTTCTTTACCCATTTAAGATTTATCTTAAAACGTTTACATAATAATGACATGAGGAAATACTTAATGTAAGCCATTTAACTAAATCAATTCACTAAATACAATAATAATAATTCAAATAACGATTAATTTATATTGTAAATAATTATGAGTTAAACATTACGATATAAGGATTGCCAGTTTTTTTATTGTTAATATAAAATAAATAATGATATTAAAGTTGATAATCTCAATACGAGAATACTTACCTAATTGAACATTGAATTTAAATTTATATCAGAAAAGAACCATTCATATTGTTAATTATTATGATTAAAAGTATTTTTTGTGAAGCTAATATATTAAAAAGAAATTAAGGAAGCTAAAATTCATATTACGATATCTGACTGATAGGATAATTCTTGCTTGTACCTATTCTTTATTAACAGGGCATAGTTTGCAAGAAATAGAGATTTTATAAAATCTATAATTTTAGATTCTAAAAACCACCAGAAAATAGGAATTAGATTCAGAAGTCTGGATAGTGATTTTGTATTGAAACCTTCACACTACTCAATTTCCTATTAGTATAGTAAGTCTAAGCAGTATTCTAAGCAGTAAGCAGTATTCTCGAAGTTAACAACTGATAGTAGCTCAATAATTAGGTCAACCTATAAGTATGAATCAATAAATATTAATTAGAATAACTGTAATCATTTGAAACCAACGAAGCTAAACTAGAATTAAGATAAGAAGAGATTAAATACTATAGTTATTAACAAAGATCACGTTGTTAACTTCAGTTTTTAATTGAAATTGGCTATAACTTCAGCTTCTTCAGAACATTATGAATCTGTTATCTATTCAAATCGGAGGTTTCACCGTGAAACAGAAGGAATTTAGATGGCTTCTGTGCATTTCGGTAAAACCAAATTGCTTGCTTGGTGAAACTTGTTAGTAGCGAGATCTCTCCTCTTCTTCTGGTGAGCAGGTACGTGCTGATAAGCACGGGGATGAGGATCGTGAGCCCTCGATGCAGGATGTACATTCTAACACGAAAACGAAATAATGTTATTGAACATTTTACTATAGACATATTAACGACCTCCGATGCCGAGTGGTCTGTTCGTCAGGTTTCAAGGTTTCGCCTACTCGAGAGGTCCCGGCTTCAAATCCCGGTGGTGGTAGATTTTGTGTGATGAATACGAGCATTTGTATTCCAGTAATGGATGTTTAATGTGTATTTATTTATAAATATACTAATATAATATGTATCAATATATCTTTTCTATCCGTTACCCTAGCCATAGCCCATAACACAAGCCTGTGCTTACTTTGGGGCTAGGCCGTCGAAAAGTACTTTGAAGATTTTATACACAGACAAGGTTTTTTGCATAAATTTTATTTCTTGATAACTAGGCAATACAGTTGATGATTAATACTGATTTATTTGTTTGCAAAAGAGGATGTCATGACTATAATTATGGTTTTATTTAACGCGTGAGTTCCACCAACTTGCTTAACTCTTACTGTTCAGTTGTGCCGGTAAGCTAAAAAATGTGTTGAATCATTTAACGATAGTAACAATTTGGGCATGATTTGACAGTGTCAATTATCTGTCCAAGCGAGAACAGATAAAATTTAAATAAAATTTAACATTAGCTCTGTGGTGTGTGACTCACACTTTAGGTAACAATATCAAAGATTTTCTGCTACGAGGGTAATATTTCAGATCGTGTTAAAGAGACAGAATATGAAAGAAATAGGAAGAAGACATTATATGCAGACCTGCGCAGGCGCTTCCTGGCTGCAGGAATAGTGTCATCCTTCTCCATCAACACGTGTCTCCTCACTCCTATTACGAAGTTCTGGAGTGCAACCTTCCATCTGTCAATAGTAAATTATTCATGAAAAAGGAAACTAAGAAATTGGTAATTGGTACTGATTAAGAATTCAGAAAACAGCAAAATCCTTGCATTAAAACGCCTTATTAGGACGTTCCTTTCTACTGAGTTTTTCACAGGAAAATCAGTTTTTACAACTCGCTTGTTTTTTTGTTAGAGATGGATGAGCAGTGTTGGAATACTTCCGAAGCTCAGTAGCGAGTGAACGCTCTACTCGGAGTGTATACTGACTAAGGATGAGTGGTTGACATCGACCAAACTAAATTGTTAATAGCCGTTCATTGATTAGTAGAATTAATAGTTAACGTAATCTAAAGAAAATATAACTAAACTAACACTAAAAAAAAACTAAAAAAATCCACGCAGCAGACGGGAATCGAACACGCACCCTTCGCAATCCGGGCGAATGTATTGTGGCGGCGACATCTATATGCCCCACATATATACAACGGATGGAGGAAATCATTACTCACCATCCTCAAGAGATGGCGTTACCTGCACTGCGATCATAATAGAGTATGGAAGCCTACATCGCGCAAATGAAATTCGGAGGCTAACTCTTCATATATACGATGCCCGACCAACATCAGTCGGGCCGCGGCCCCCGAGCTACCATCACTCAGCTCGGAGGAAGATCTTCCTCTTTGGCCTTCCTACAGTATTAATAGCATAATTGGTCAGTGCATTCGCCCGGATTGCGAAGGGTGCGGGTTCGAGTCCCGTCCGCTGCCTGGGCCGCGTGGAATTTTTTCTAGTTATATTTTCTTTAGATTTAAACATCAATTAGTTACATGCTTTAAAAAATAAAAATTATAACAGTTAACGTGTTTAATCTGATTGCCAAGCGAACTAGTACTGACTCGATGGTTTTTGGGTCCAGGTTGTAGAGTGCGCGGTCCGGGTGGGAGAGTCGCGCGCGCAGGCGGCGCACGTTGCGCGCGGGGAACGAGAACTCGCGCGTCGCGAAGTATTCCAGCGCGCCGCTCATCGCCGACAGACGCCCACTCAGGCGGGAGAGGCTCATACTTCACAGATACAATATCATCGTCATCTTTTTTTTTTTTTATGTTATAGGGGGCATACGAGCAGACGGCTCACCTGATGGTAAGTGATCACCGTCGCCCATGAACACTTGCAACACCAGGAGTATCACAAATGCGATGCCGGCCTTTAAGGAAGGAGTACGCTCTTTTTTTGAAGGTTTTTGGGTCGTATCGTATTTACCTTATGACGTCCCCACGGCTGACACACATGCATTCCCGAGAATGGAATAGGGCGCAGGGGCCATGCATGATCTACCACGTGGACCGAATGCTATTATTATTAACTAGCAGCCCGCCCTCGCTTCGCTTCGGTGTAGAGCAGAAGTGTAGACTACAGTTTTTGTTCTCAGGCTTGTATTACACACAATGACATTCATCTATGATTCTTTATACATTCTCTTATACCTGCATGCAAAGTCACAGCCCGGTCGGTTTAAAATTGGCAAAGTTTCATACGAACTTTCATTCCCTATTTTATCCCCTTGGGGTAGAATTGATCAAAATCCTTTCTTAACGGATGCCTACGTCATAACATCTACCTGCATGCCAAATTTCAGCCCGATCCGTCCAGCGGTTTGGGCTGTGCGTTGATAGATCACTATGTCAGTCACCTTTGAGTTTTATATATATATATATATAGATATTATTTGAGGTTTTGGGGCTATGTATCCCTAATGGAACTCTATATCTATAATGACGCGCCACCAAGTTGAGGTATCTCTTTAAGCCCGACAGCTTCCAAGAAGCTCAAAACGCGTCTAGCTTTAGGAATGCTAAGCAACAAAGCTCTAATAAGCAGTAGATGCGGGTTCCGCTATATAGCGGAGGATGCGGTTTCTAATCCCGTCTAAAACCTGGACAAAATGGACTTTTCTCTGGGTGTATTCCGTAATATATAGCAGTATACTGACCAGTGCTAATGACGTCATGAATCGAGGCTATACTGGTAAATTGTTCCGAAATATATTGGCCAGTGCACTGACGTCATAAATCGACGAAATATTAAAAAGAGTGCGAATAAAGAAGATTTGTTTATTCACCTCATCAATTAAAAGGAATTCTTTTTGTTCGGATGCCATTATTGTTCTTTAAATAAAAAAGAAATAAAATTCGAATGTATCTCACGCACGCTCGGTCATACGTCATATCCGTTTTCCCGATAAAATATGGTAGCATACTATTACAATATGGCGTCGGATTCGTAACGTCATTACCACTGGCCAGTATACTGATGTATATTTCGGAATACACCCTCTATCTCTATTCTTTGAACTGAACCATTGAACAGTTAAATGCTTAAAATTAAAAACATTATGATCTAATAAACGTATTTCTTACTGGTGTTGCATTATTGAAACTGGTCGTTAGTTGTCTTTGATGCGAAGGAATAGCGCAAAGCTGCAGCTTAAAATAATAAGCTGCCGTTTAAGATAATAAAGAAATTCGAAGCTTAATGATGAGTGCAACTTCAAATGGTGCTAGTTGGTTGGCATCGAATTATAGCATGGTACCGTTGATGAGCTGGATATTTTCTAATGAAAACTGTTCTTATAATATATAAAACACTAAGCAGTAAGACGTTTATAATAAAAAAATATCTTAACAAAAATCATACCGCCTGTCATTATTGATCATGCAATCCGCCAGAACGAAGTATGGATATATGGAAATATAATTAACTATATAACATTTATATGCAGTAGTCGCTTCTACAATATAACTGCCGTCTTCAGATTAACTTATTTTGATGACACTTACTATTTTGGTTACGATGTTACTATATTAACACATACCTGTTTGTCTTGTTTGTGTTGTAAAAACATAATTTTATGAGTTCAGCAAGGTGCAGTGGCAGAGTTTGGTAAACAAACTCCAGGATTTTGTAGGTGAACCTGCAAAAATTACACAAAATTTGTTAATCTAATTATTCTTCGTCATAATTTTATCACCAAACTATCAACACAATAGGTAATTGGGAGGCAGGAAACTGTCTATATTGGGTTCCAGTCTCACAATTTCTGATTATGGTATTTAATTTTCTAGCTGTATTCCTGTTATGTACAAAAATTGTGGACAGGAAAATAAGTAGCTTTATTTTTAAATAAAACTAGTTTTAATGGTAACCTATTATATGCACGAA